TTAAGCTTATCAGACAATATGAAAGGAACTTACTTAAAATAGACAAAACTCGTCTATATTATTTAATGAAATATACATCAATGAATATATATATATATATATCCAAGTATAGGATTGGTGTATACGGAATAAATTCTAATAATCAACAATTACTATTCTTAAAAAAGTGCTTAATACACAGTAGAGAAAATATAATCATTTATTCGAAAATTATAACATAAAAATGTTATAAAATCAATACAAAAATAACCATTTTGTTTCAACACTTCCGGTGTTTTATCAAGTGATAGTGTTGAATATATATATATATATATATATATATATATATATATATATATATATATATATATAATATTTTATTATAATATTCTAATTGCTACTTTCGGAACTTTAAAAATTGTCCCTCATGAGCCGATGGTAGATAAAATATGACGAAAATCATTTACTTGGAAAACCAGAAAACCATTCTGTAACTTCTTTAAGAGTCAAAAAGAAGGAAGAAAAAACCAAACATCTAAAATTAAAAAAAATTTACATTTGTGGGCTAGTCTTGATTAATCATTTAAAAGACGGATGAAATCTAAAATAGAAAAATAAGATCAGAATTTGAAGTTAGGTGAGTTATTTCTTCATGTCTAGATGAATTGACACTTTACGCATGTCCAGTGAGGTAGACATAGGTTTATATTGTACAAAAGGATATTAAAACGTAAGATTTGACAGAAATTCGAACTCGGCTCTCTGATTCCTCAATCCGAGCCGCTATCCATTACTCCACAGTGCCTCCTTTTTATTATAAATTATAATAAATGGTTTTTGTTTGTGTTAATAAATAAATCAGGGAGAGAAGAAGAGCATTCATACCTTTCCCAAGGGTATTAGCACGTAAGTGAATGTAATGGATTCGACTGGAATTCGAACTCGGCTCTCTGATTCCTCAATCCGAGCGGCTATCCATTACTCCACAGTGCCTCCTTTTATTATAAATTATAATAAATTGTTTTGTTTGTGTTAATAAATAAATCAGGGGAGAAGAGGATTCATACCTTTCCCAAGGGTATTAGCACGTAAGTGAATGTAATGGATTCGACTGGAATTCGAACTCGGCTCTCAAATTCCTCAATCCGAGCGGCTATCCATTACTCCACAGTGCCTCCTTTTTATTATAAATTATAATAAATTGTTTTGTTTGTGTTAATAAATAAATCAGGAGAGAAGAAGAGGATTCATACCTTTCGCAAGGGTATTAGCACGTAAGTGAATGTAATGGATTCGACTGGAATTCGAACTCGGCTCTCTGATTCTTTAATCCGAGCCGATATCCATTACTCCACAGTGCCTTCCCCGTCACAAGATGTCAGGGTCGAAATCAAATGGATAAAGAAATTAGATCGATCCCATGATTAAGAAATATCGATTGAAATGTCTAAAAAGCATAAAACTGAAATGTTTCCTTAATGTTTGTTTTTGTTTTGTTGTCATGCAAAATTGTATTTTGAATTTTCCTTTGTAAGCTTTTCTCCAGTTCTGTAATTGTAATTTTTAATAACATGTTGCTTGAATTTGTAGTAATGTTATAGTTTAGATTGTTCCTTCGTCAATTAGCGTGTACGTTACGACTTTCTATACCTCAGATATAAGAAAAAAACATTTGCAGGGAATGAAAGACGTGAAGAAAAAAAGCAAGAAAGAAAAGAAAAGTGAGAAAGGAAGAAGGAATGGGTAAATGGAAAGAAAGAAAGAAAGAAAGAAAGAAAGAAACAAACAAACAAACAAACAAACAAACAAACAAACAAACAAACAAACAAACAAAAAAGAAAGAAAGAAAGAGAGAAAGAAATATTCATGGAGACCTACCAGAAACTATTCGTAACATACTTGTTGACAACACTAATATAATAGCATCATACATGCAAAAATTTTTAAAAAATTTAAAAAACTAAAGATAATGGAAGCCTTATTAATAAAAACAAAAAAAAACAACACTTAATAATATTAACTTTAAACATGGACACAATATCTTGACCATGTTTTGAAAAATGAAAACATTTTATAAAATATACATACAACAAACTATTTCTTATTTAAGAGTTAAAATAACTAATCCTTGATAATGGCTAAATGTATAAGCGAAAGCGCTCGGATAAAAAGAACATTCGGACAGTTTTTATATAATTTATAATCTTAAAAGAAAAAAATATTAGATCGCATGAGAAATTGTATAAAAAACTAAATAAAAGCACCTTGTCTGTCGTATTCAAGGAAATGTGCATGAAAGAAGGATTGCTGCCTAAATACACAAATATATATATATGCATATATATATATATATATATATATATATATATATATATATATATATATATATATATATGAATACGCATTGTCCTCCTCTAAAAGTCCCTTGCTGCCTTCTTTGGAGCACAAATAATTCCTTTTTTTTTTTGCCATTCCAGCCGTCAGTGAGTCATTCAATTTCAGCGGCAAATTCCTTTCGTGTTTCGCTGGCTCAAAGTAAGAATATCCTCATTTGCACTTTGTCTAAATAAACCACCCATCCTTAGGGGAATCTGTTATTGTAGAGAATCAAGAGGTCATTGCAGTGCGACTCTTTATGCATATATATATATATATATAAATATATATATATATATATATATATATTCCAAATACCAAATATATATTGTTGAATATAGCAGACAACGAATGTCTATCATGGTTGATCATAATCCGTTCTAGTGGCTTTAGTTTAGTTTGAATAAAGATCTGCTGCTCCAATACACTCTTACCTCTTTACTTCCACCATTTTTTCTTTTACCCCTTTTTTCTCTTTTTTTTCCTTTTCTCATATCATTTCCGTTAAGATGACCGATTAAATAGATCAATGTCTGATCCTTGCCCCCTCCTTCCTCAATAGTAAGTATTGTAATAAAAAAAAAAATTTTAAAACTCTCCCTCCCCACTCTAAACTCGACCACGTCTCTCACCCTATTCCTCACCACCTTCTATGTCAACTTATATAATCTTAATACTGCTCGTCAAAAGTTTAAATTTTAAATTCATTTTTCGTTTCACCTTTGAAA